TTTTTGAGATCTTAACATTACAGTGAGTAAAGTAAGGTGTATCATTTAAATTGTGACCAGCTGGGAGGGCAGTGATTTCCTTCACTCTTGTATTGGGTCTGGCTGCGATTAATTTTCCCCATAGCAGCCCTCATGGTGCTGTGCTTGGTATTGGTAGCTAGAAAGGTGTTGGTAGCACACCAGTGTTTTGGCTGCTGCACCAGGCCTGTCTCTCCAACATTCCCCTCTCACCCAGTGGGCTGGTGGTGGGTAAAATCTTGGGAGGGGACACGGACAGCTGACCCCAACTGACCAAAGGGATATCCCACACTGTATGATGTCCACTCAGTCATAAAAGCAAAGAGAAGTGGGGGGCATTTGTTACTATGTTTGTCCTCTGGAGCAACCGCTATGTGTACTGAAGCCCTACTTCCTGGGAAGTGGCTGGACATGGCCTGCTGATGGGGAAGTAGGGAATAAATCTTTTGTTTTCCTTTGCTTCTGCATGTGGCCTTTGCTTTTGCTTTATTAAACTGCCTTTATCTTGACCCATGAGGTTTTTTCCCATCTTATTTTCTCTCCCCCCTGTCCTGCTGAGGAGGGGGACTGATAGAGCAGTGTGGTGGGCACCTGGCATCCAGCCAGGGTCAACCCACCACAATGCTCATCAAGGAGACAAACACAGGAGAGAAATTAAAACAGGCATATTAAGGAGAGAGCATCTGCCACACTGGCTCTGCATCTGCATGTTTGGTTTGACAGTTTATGTAGTCTGCTGTTGCTTTCTGGTGATTTTTAGGTAAGAAAGGAAACTGTTGTATAGATATGTACTGGAAGTATAAAACATGATAACTTTCTGCTACCAGGAAAAATACTTAATCTGGAGAAGCTGTATCCTCGAGTGGATTTTAATTGGTACTACACCTGCTTTCACCAGATGGTGTTGTCAAATGAATCTCTGTTTCTGAAGGCTTTGCTCCTTTGTGTAATGTAAATAAGACACACAGGCAACCATGGACTGCCCTAAAAATTCAAGTTTTACTTGACTTTTAAATAACCTGGACACAAGTATTGACACAGCCATCTATCAAACTCAATTTAAAATAAAGCACACAGTTGCTTCATGAATACTTAATGTACATAGAACATATGCATCACATTGATATGTTTATGTATGTTGTTTTCAAACATCTTTCTAGGGAGCTTTGAATTAAACAGGCTTTCCCAAAAGAAAATGTGCTATCTACTGAGTTCACCTGTATATTCACCTATATAAAGATGATTGATTTGGCAACTTAAATGGTAGTGAGACTTTTTTCTCCACCCCCTCCCCCCCCAACATCTTCAATATAATGAGCTCAGTTAGAACATGAGTTGCAAGGTTATGGATATTGGTAAGAAGTGCAGTGTAGAAAACAGCAGGTCAAAGCTAGCTTCTAAGGAAAGAAACCACCTAACAAGCAAGGGGACCAATAAGAGATATACAAGAATGCTTTTGTGGTATGGTTAGCAAGCCCTCTTTATTGTATAAGATACATGTTTTGCAAAGAGGTATATCTGTGTTGTAGGTGTTAATTAATAAGTGAGAGGGTTCCATAACTTAGCACTTACAGAAGTCTCAGAGGAGCTAAATGCAGAGGCACAAAGTCAAAATTGTTGGCCTGAGATCTATTCAGCAGACTAGAAGCAGAATTACGATGAGAATGTCTCAAATATCAGTCCTTTGTCCATGTGAGGACAGGGTCTGTATGGCATCCAGCCCCAGGGCAGACTTTGACGCATCAGGAGGTACAAGCATGTCGGACTGATGTCCAAACTCCAGGTCTGAAAACATAACTGCCTCTAGGCAGCTGAAAGCCCCAAGAAAGCCAGAGAAGGGCAGCAACAGCGGAAAAGGCAAGGTGTAGCCCAGAGTTGTAAGAGGCCAGCCACTTGCAGATGTTGTAGGGCTGGTTTAGGGCTACAGAGCATAACTGTGGCACAGTAACTGCTTTCAGTGATTGATCACTTGTAGGTATCTCTCACACAAAAACAAGATCACAAGAAAAGGTGCCTTTCCTCAAATGACTGAGGAAAAGAAGCTTGAAGGGAAAGGAGGCTCACATATACGGAAGAAGTTTCTTTTTCTGTACTATTAGCTGAGAGTGACATCTGTATCCAAGTTTTGCCTTGTTCTGGCACTGACACTTAACATGTAATACAGGTGTTAAGCTTAGTCTGTCTTTTGTGGATACAAAACTGTATTGTAGTGCCCCAGACTGAGCATTAGACTTGCTAAAACCTTCCTGCATAGGTAAAACCACTAACTCAAATCCAGGACTCTTTCTGTAAATTTCTCATTTAAATGCAAAAAAGTTGGCTTGATTACAAAAACCACTCTCCTGTGACTTAAGAATTGAAACCTGTCAGTATTAGACTAGATAGAGGCCTATTTTCTGATGTAGTGGGATGAGTAAAACACCACGCGCTTGGCTGATGGTATCCAGCAATAATACACAAAGCCCACAGGCAGATGACAACATACAGGAAAACATGAGGTTGGATATAAACATTACAATTTTCTTCTCGATCAATATTTGAGGATTGGCAAGATACGGACACTATGTACAGCTAATTCTCAAATAATAACACCACAAATCCTCCTAAAGTAGTAGGTAAGTTCTACTTGCCTGTGCCTGAGTAAAGAATGCAGAATTATGGTAGTGATTTAGAAAGCAACAAACTACAAGCAAATGCATAATGCTCCAGCTTGGAACACCTTGAAGAAATAAGGAGTGGCTTTCATTGCAGACACTGTAACCAGTTCTTGTGTGGTTTGTTGTATTTCAGTAGTCTTCCAAAAGATTTTGATGCTCTAGATTAATCTGTATCACCCCAATCTGCCGCAGTGATGGAGTTTTTTTGTGTGTGTTTGGTATTTTTTGCTCTTTTTTTTTTTTTGTTCGTTTTGTTTGGGTTTTTTTTTAAACTGGTCCTTGTGAGAATACTACACAAGGTCATAAACAGATCCTAAAGAATCATTTTAAATTGGAGCAATGACAATGAAACCATTTAAAAGACTTAAAAAACAGTTTGAGCAAATACTCTAAGCCAAGCCCAACAATGTCCTAGGATGAAATCCATAGTAAATTCAGAAAATGCTGAAGAACCTCCATGAAAATAGAATTTTTACCACAGAGAGGTTCTAAGCCCTCTCCTTCCCTTCCATTTGTTCACTGAGACTGAAGAAGCAGAACTGTCCAAAATAAATGATCAAAGAAAAATATTTATGAAGTGAATCTGCCTTCTCTGGCACGAGGCAGCATCTCCCAACCCACAGACCAGTCCATACTCTGATGGGAATATGCAAACTGTCTGGCTACAACCCTGACTAGTAGCATCCACCTGACCACCTCAGATCATGAAACAATAAAGAACCAAAAAATGAAGTGGAAAATAAAACACATCATACAGGGTTTCACTTCTCAATTTTGTTAGTTAAAATGTGTATTAGTAATCCCATGCCTCTTGTAAAGCAGAACTTAGGTGTGTTATGGGCACTCCAGTTCTCAAACAGCATTGCTTTTCTGACAGGGCTGCTGTCCCCTGGTACGGCATTGCTAGGGGTAGAAGACAGGATGACTGCCAATCACTGAAGGTGGTGGGGGTTGAGTTTAAGGAGGACAGACGTAAAAAGGCACATGAACTAGTACGGCTGTTTCCAATGCTGTTTGACAAATTCAATATTTAGTTTGGGGATCACACTTAGCAAGAGTTACTTTCACAACACAAAGATTTTACTAAGCTTCTTAGTAAGTTAGCAAAGCCAGAAGGCTCATCCATGTACTGACTGTGGACAAATGGGAGGCAGAGGAATGACTTCAGCTATTTGTACAAAGTGACAGGACAGGAGAAGAGCTACGCATCACTTCAGATACGTACTAGAAGATAACCCACTCAATGTGCAGCATCATTAAAACTTACTATTTCTACTGTGACAATAGAAAAAAAATTGCAATTATCATACCTGAAATACTGCCTTTGTCATTTTATCATAGTAGAAATGGCTCAGAGAAAAGTATCGGAAGGTACTAGCATTGATTATTTCATATGAAAAGAGATTAAGGCAGACTTTGCTAATCTAGTTTTAAAAAAAAAAAAAAAAGGCTATTTGCTAGCTGTCTTAAATCCTACTTTACAAGTTTCATTTAACCGGTACTTAAGTATCTTGCTAAGCAGTCTTAATATGGTGGGTCAGTACATACTCTCCATTTTTTTCCAGTGTGGTTTACTGTAAGTTGATAGATGTATTCATTTCTATGGTATGGAATGTTCAGTTAAATAGTCCATCTACATAAAAGGGCAATCAAAATTGAGAACACTTAAAACTGCCAAGGGAAAGTAAGTCTATCACCTCTGGAACTCTCTGCTACAGGATGTTACTGAGTCTATTATTTCTGAGCTAAAGCGGGTTAAGTCAACATTTATATTAACAACACAAGCATCTGTTGTGCTAGGCTAAAACAAACCTTGTAAGAGCTATCAGTCCTTATGTCTCAGGACACAAGGTTAATCCCCATATAAAATTGCGAAGATAATTCTCCCCATATCACACTGTATTGCACAATTGGCCAAAAATATGACTATTTTGCTTCTCTTGAAGCATCTGGTCCTGATCATGTCAGTTAACAGTCATTTTTTGGAAAAACGCTATTCAGTTACAGAGCAGACCATAAAGCCTGCTTTGTTGCAGCGATTTTTTTTTTTTTGTTCGTTTTTTGGAAATGTAACTGCTGATCATTCACTTTTACTACAACTTTTCTTTTTGGTTGTCTAATTAGGCAGCTCCTCCTTGATCAGTCACACCACTTGGATGGTGTTGGTGATGAAAGCATTGCTTGGCCTTCCCAGCAAGCAGGCTGCACTTCTGAGTGTCCTGAAGAAATTGCTACCATGTCGACTTCAGTTCCTTCCCTTGCACACACACACAAATTCTCAGTTTCCAAAGAATAAAATCCATTCACCATCTTCAGTTACAGCAGTCAAGTCTCCACTTTGAAGCGTGACACCTGGACAGTTTTTATGATCTTAGTGGTGGATTTTCCATCAACATTGTTAGTGGATAGCTGAGATGTTTCTTCTATTAGGCTGTCTTTAGATCCATTCTGTCTCTGAAGGGAACAAATTAAAACATGTTCTTGAAAAAATATGTATAGCAGAATTTAAATACTGTATTTTGATAACTGCTGCTATGACAGCCTTAGGCTAAGGATATAGCAATTTATATATATACATCCGCCAGGAATATTAAAGCCTCTACATCTATTTGATCAAACAGAATTTTTTCACCCCCTTGCCTCCACTGTCCCCTGCCAGCTGTTGCCCCTCTGTGCTGTTTGGATTCATATTCCCTATTCAGGATATGTCACAACTAATTATTTGATATTTAGCAAAACACTGCAAGAAAGCGCTCACAAGAAATTAATGACCACTATTGTGAGAGGGTCTGGGGCAGAGGGAAAAGAGAGGTGTTTGTGGACACTGAACATTGTAATAGTAATTCCTTCCAGGGCATGAATTTAAGCCACATTGTATTGGGTAAGAATGGAAATAAAACAATATGAATTTTGAACAAGACTCAATCACAAAAGTTATCTATTTCTACAAAGCATGTAGATGTGCTTAGGCCTAAGTATACCAACTTCCCCTTCACTACTGGAGCAAGTCCTTACAGAAACATCAAGGACAGCTCATCTTTTTCAATTTCCATCATATGCAGGAATACAAATATCCTTGAATTCCTATCAAAGAATAGGCAGTCTGTTAGCTAGCCTTAAAGGGAAAAATATCTGCTTATCGTTTTAAAATTGCTCAAGCTTAAGTTATTCTAACTGCTTTTAAGATAAAATATGACATGTTTTGCTGGTTGTATCCTGTGCAGTTTCCACACTACATACAGTATCAGCATGCAGTTTTGGTATATCCACTTGCTAGATTAACAGACATGATGACTGGTGTGGGAAGTTAGGCAGAACTGTGTCTGGATTTCTCCCTTCCATGTTTTGGTTTTCCTTTTGTGTGCCTGTACAACAGACCTGCAAGTGCTTTTTGAATATCATTTGCTTCTCATATTTTGAGTTTAATAAAACTATCAAAGCTGAGAAACATGGTACCATAATTTATGACGAAAGCCAGTGATTACATTTAAAAAGACAAGTTCTATCCTTTTTACATTTGAGTAACTTAAAAAAACTGTTCAGCATTCAGGGGAAAAAAATTTAAAAAAGCAATGCTTGAAGCCCAAGCAACAAAACTCTAAGGAAAGCTCTAAGAAGAGGTGAATAAATGATGGTAGGTTGTGATTACAACTGCATCCTAAGCACACTTGCATATTTGAAGAAATTGTGACAGTTGATTCTCCTCCTGTGAAGAATAGGGTATCATCTTAAGGAAGCATCAAACTCGAACTGGGAAAGAGACCTACAGCAGCAGAAGCAGGTATTTGCAGGGGCATGTGCTACAGAACTACATACATTTGGAAAGACAAACAAGTAGTCAGACTGCAAAATGTAAAATTTCAAGTCACACTGCTGGAGAAAAAATCTCAGCCAGCTTTAATTTTCACTGAAAAACAAAGATCTAAATTAAATAAAGCACTAATCCCCCCGCTTCCCTCCAAAAAGGATAATTGCAAAGGATGCACAATTACTAACCTGTTGAGTCAACTGGATGCTGGGACCTCTAGCATCCGAAGATCGTGTAACAGGCAGTGGAGGCACTAGATCAGTTTTCGCGCTGGAATTACAATATTACAGAATAGATATTGCTATAATGAAGTAAACTATAACTGTGCACAAGAAGAATAATGAAACTGACCCAGAGAGCTACACAGATCTGAAAGGCAAAATCCAAAATGCTTATCACCCGACTTTAGACATCCGAAAGCTATCACGCTGGTCCTCAGTAGTTGGTGGACACCTTCGGGGCAGAGGTCATCCCACCCCTTTTCAAGGGGCCTGTCTCCTTCTGGTCTACAGAGGCAGCCCAACTTCATGCGAGATGAGTCTCACCTGAAATCATGGGTGTGCCACACCTCCTTCAGGGTGCCGTCCAGCTAAAACTAGCCTCCCAGGTGGGTGATATCATCAGGAGACAGCTTTTGATATTTAAGGCCTTCATAAAACTAAGAACAGGGCTGTCACTTTTCCATTCGTAAGTACACCCTTCTAGGAAAGACTGATCCACCCTTTGCTGACAAGGGTTGTACTAGAGTTCCCATGAAACAAATTACAGAGTTAATACAGATGACATCTTCACTCTATTAAGGATGAAGGTATCTGGAAAGCAGCTCATGAGTTCTCATCCCTTAGGCAACTTCATGACCTACCACTGAAGAGCAATACAAGTTTATTTTGGCTTTTTCAGTTCTCACCCCTTCCAGTAGATCAAGCAAGCATTTGTGGCCCAAAATAGACCAGAGATGTTTTTGTACTTGTTTGAGTCATTTAGCTCTGAATACCTACTATTTAGAGGGTTGCCTAAATCCTATGCCAGCAAACAACCACATTTATGCCACTTCTAATCTAGCCACAATCTTTGAACAATTTTTGGGCCACACTAAACTAGTCCATTGTTAATAACCACATTCACGTACTTCACTTCAGACAGGACAGATCTTTCACCATCAGAGCACTGGGACCGCCGATACTGACGGTAGCTTCGAGGGGAATGTGAATGCCTAATGCGGATTGGGTCACCTTGAGTCCTGAGAGAGACACAGAATTCACAATTGTTGGTTAGTAAACCAGATGGTTGGCACAAAAACATAACTTCAACTGCAGGCTGAGAGGTCCTCCCATTGCACTGGCTAAATTTAAAAGGCTGATGCTTTTCTTACAAGTCTGTACTTGGAATTCAATGCTTTGAAAGTGCAAAGATCACAAACTAGCATGCCCATATTTAAGAATAAAACTACTTAATATATAATGCATTAATATATACAGCTTTAACATCAGCCTTTTCTGTGTAGTGGTGTTGTGGAAGCACATTATAATGCAAACCAGGATCCCATTTCTGTCACATGCAGCTGCTTACACTGACACATGGCATCCCAAATGGGCAATTATCACAGCGAAATGGATGCCCGCTCTTAAGGAAATTGCTATGCCCCAGCAGCTGCCCATGACAAGCAAAGAAAGCAGTTGAATAGGTCAAACAGTGCCTTAGATGATTGGAATAAAAATTGAAAAGGAAACAGAATTTAGGAGATAACTGGATTTGCTTGTTTGCATTCAGTTCTCTCCGATTCTGTAGTGTATAACATAAAAGGGGTTGATGGATGGCATAGGCAGACATACAGAACATACAGACATCCGTCAGGTTCATGAGTGTTATGGGAGAGAGAGGGAGAGATGAAGATGATTTTTTTTTTTTTTTTTTGGAAAGAGAAAATACTAGGTTTTATAATTATTAATTTTCTTGACCCAACCCATCCTAGAAGAGCATTTGGAGTAGGTAAAAGCTTAGACATTATGTGTAAACCCACTCCTATTTCAGTGTGACAGAGTTCACAGTAAAGTAAGAAAAGTGGGCTTTTATATTCACAAAGAAAAATCTTGACATAAACTCACTCTATTTTAGTGTATGGAATTTCTTTCAATTGCTCCTCAGACAGGCCAGATGGATCCACAAGCTCCTTCCTAGAAAGGATTAGGCAAAGTAAAAAATGTAACAGTAGCTACCAACTGCAAAATCTTTCTTATTTTTATTATATTAGGCTGAAAAGGTTAACTGAAACAAGTTGTTGTCAGCCCTGAAGCTATCTTTACATCAAAATAGGAAACCTATTAAGAAATGTGTCTAACTTCACCTTGATTGCTTCAACTGCATGTCACATCCTGTTCCACCTTACTCTCACCTTCCTGCAAATTTGATCTTGTTGCTTCACAATATATATAAACACTGTGTATACTGAACATAGAATATGTTTTGGAATAGCTAACTATCTTCCTAACTGGTGTTTCTATAGCATGTGGGGCCTCATCCTAAAAGCGTCGGTATTATAAACAAGGACATTTTGGAAGCCTCAGAGGAATAAATCTCTAAAATGCTGTATTTTTCTTTAATTATTCATCTACTTACAATGGTCATCTGTATTCAGTGCATTCAGTGAACTGCAGTATCTTCTACACATAGCAGGTCATTAACACCCACATAATTTACTGTGGCACATAACTAAGTCAGAACGTAATGCCTTATAGCCGCAGTGCAGGGGATGTGAATAACTACATTAGAGGCAAACCAAGCAGCCACTCGGACCCTACAAACACAGTACTTACTGAATATGTTTCCACAGTTCTTCTTTAGCTTGTACATCTGGGCTTCTCCTATAAATACCAACAAGACAACAAAGGCGGAACTGTGAAAACCATTGTCTGATGTGCTGCTGTCCAAATAACTTTTAACAGCACAGACCCTGCATAGAAATCATGGTAAATGTAATCCACCAGTGACTTCAATTTTAAGGTTTGTTATCTCAGAAAATGCATTAAACTTCATCGCTTCATTTCAACTGAGAAGTCATTCCTTGAATGACAGGCTCTCAATCACAATTCCTGTTCTACTAGCCTTCAGCAAGAGTATGCATAAAATATAAACAAGAGCAGAACTTCCCAAGCCAAACTAGTGCCCAGCTACTGCCACCTCTTATCCAGCTGATGACAATGTGTTTTGGAATAACACTTTTGTAAAAGGTTCAGACATTCAGAAATGTCCTGTGGCCCACAGAGCCCTTTGTGGGCAGGAGGAGGGACAGGCCGCACCAGGCTGACACACCAGTAAATCCCTGACCATTCCCAGTGAGCACCAGTAAAGAGGACCCGTTGCTCAGCTGTGATCACGGTACAGCCTCTCGCTTTCTGGACATTTCCAAGATGGGTTTCTGCTCACTTCATTTACCTTTGTGATGTTCAGGACAAAAAAACAACAACGAACAAACCAAACCAGCAATCATGCATGCATACTCACACAGACAAATATTTCAGCAAGTTATTTCACTCACAGAGAAAACACTTAGCCAAAATTGTAATTTCCCAGTTGCAGACACAGAGATGCAGCAAAGCATGCCTAAATGGCATGCCTCGCATTTTCCACTGAATTACAGAAGATACCATCTCCAAACTGGATCCCCTTTGTTTTTATTTTTCTTGTCCTATTTTATTGCAGGGTTACTGCAAAATCACCGCTATTGCTGAAGTTACACCTAGAATTCACCAAAACCCATGCAATAGATTAAATAAGCATTTCACAGAGTGGCAGGGGCTACATTTGCATGGAGAGATCAGATAACTCTCTTCATTGGGATTATATAAACTCAGTGTCAACAGCTAGACTGTTCCACACCACCTGAGATGTGAGGGATGCAACTTTTAGACAGATTTAGCATGCATAAATGCTCGCACTGAAGTCACAGTTTCTCAAAGATTAAGTCTTACATCATCAGATCATACAGCTTGCTTTTTTTCTTAAACAAAAGGGCCTATCACATTCAAAGATGTTTTTGGAGTGATATAATCCAAATTTAAATGAAGATCAAGGAAGACAGCAGAGTTCTGCATTCTAGCATCTCTTAAATCAGCTCTCCCTTGCCCAGAGACAGAGATGTATCAGAATTAATTCCAAACTGCTCTCTAGCACTTATGGTTTCACTGTTTTCTCATTTCACCACTGCTGTGTTTGGCTCATTTCCAGACTTCAGCCTAGGAATAACGTTCACAAACATCTATATTGCACGAAATGTTTTACAGCAGGTGTAAAGGCAGATTATTTATGAATGATAGTGTTTTGGGGTTGTGTTTTTTTTTTTTTTTTTATTTTACAGGTGCAAAAGTACTGGGAGATATTAGTTTACTGCTTTACAAATAGCAGAGAGAGACAGTAGGGTGAGAAACAACCTTACATTTGTGATTCCCTAGTGGGACTAATATGAACTAATCCATAACCTTCTCATACTCCAAGGTGGCAGCGTGACACTGCTGCCCCAGATGATTCCTGTCCTTGACCAAGCGCTCTGCTGTCTGTTCTGACTGCTCAGGTCCTCATGACAGCAACAGCTACCGCCATGAGTAGCTTGCAGTCTGATTTTTCTCAGCATTCAGAACTTTTTGTGCCTTTACATGTTTGTGTTAATCATAATGCATTTAATTTTCTCTGATTTTCACTTCTCCTACCTCTCCTTCTCCTTTCTTGCATTTACTTCTTCTCTCCTTCTTACATCTGTCCATGCTGTTTTTAACGCCCTGATGCACTAGCTTGGTATGCAGTGGCATTTAACAGCCTTTTTCACCCCTCAGTTTTGAACTGATTTCTCCTTCCGTGCAACCCCCTGCTCACAAAACAGCAGCTGCAAACCCTGCATTCACCCTGGGGCTGGGAAGATAGGCATCCTCTTCTGAGGCTGAATAATCAGGCAGTGGGGAATGTGAAAGCTCCCTGAAAAATGACAGCTTCTCCAAGGAGGCTTTGTAATGCTTACAAGCCCTAGTTTGCCCGAGGAAGCAAAGCCTGAAGGTCACTCCCAAACCCAGAATCCCTACAAAGCAGGGTATTGTGCATGACCCATCTGATCGACTCATGTTTTTTACTTATTCATGGAAATACAACAGTTCAGGATGTGGCCTTAAGTCTCACGTATCACCAAACACCATGTGAAGCCTCACCTACGGTAAGAAATACTAATTTGTGGGGCCGTGTGGAAAGAGGGTGGTTAAATAAGAAGTCATCTTCGTTTCTCTGTTTTCTAGGAACTGCGCCTCCTGCTTTCTGCGTCCAGCTCCAGGTATCTAATTCTGTGATCTCTGCCATTCTCCTTCCTTCCACACCTGCAACTACACTAATAAGGAAGCCACTACTGTAAAATATCCATTTAGCAATATGGCATCCCACAGGAAAAAAACCAAAACAAAAAAAAGGGAAATGGCTAAATGCAATGATTCCTCAGAGCAAACTGCTTTTATGAATTCCCATCTTGACATTATTTATTTTCCATCTGTTTAAGAAGTGTCACCATACTGTGATAACCTCACAACATTTATTCAAGCTAACTCCCCACAGAAGAATATGTCACAGATAAAGTTGCATCTAGATAATAAGATAAAAGTATCTTATTAAGAGCATTTTCCTTCCAAAGGTCTGTTCCTGCTTCCTTTGAAGGCAAAATTAAGCAATGCTTACAAAAATAAAGGTCTTGTTAAGGTGAAATGTAGGTATTGCATATACTGCATAGGAAATTCATGTTTGTATAGCTCTTAACAGCCCACAACAAAGCAATCCTTCTATTAAATCTTTAAAGCCAGATCACAATCCCTCTTTCATTTTGTTTTCCTCTTTTTACTGTGAATTGTTTTAGAACTCACAGTTTTGACATATAATGTATAATCAAATTGTCCTATTGCAGTATCTGAATCAATAGCTTCTGGACAATTTGTACGCTAATCAGATTCTCTAATGCACAAGACATCTAATGGGAATTCCCAGTAAGTGATGAGTCTCCAGGGGTTTTTTGTTTATTTTTATTTCGTTTTCACACACTTGAACAGCTCTACACATTAATAAGGTCTACATTATTTCTTGTGTCTGCATCTGCACCCTTATTAATATTTCAGTTTGAGTCACAAATGGTAAATTTAAATAGCCATGGAATTTTAATGGCCATTCTTCTTAATTAAAAAAAGCCCTTTGGCTACACAGATGTTTTACATGAACTCTTGAAAATAAACCCTGTAGAACTAGAATTGGGAGCTCTCTCTATTTGCTGATTCCTTTAGGAGAAAGAAAGGTCAAATTCTTGTCAAATATTTTTATTCCTGAGACCAAGGAGACACCACCCCACCACCACCAGTGATTAATATTACTCATTATCAAACAAATGAAATGCATTGTGCCAGGCACAGTAACAAATATTTCAGCCATTACTTCATGCTTCCAAAGTGAACCTCCAGTTAAGCTGACTGCAATAAGGAACTTAATGTGAAAGACTTATCTATACTACTAAAATGAAGGTTTTGTATTAATTGTTAAAGGTGCAAACTGAAATGATCACATGACCAGATTTAAAAACAAAACCAATCATACCTTACACCGTAGGGAATCACATTTCCCTTCCCTCTGACCCACATCCAGTCATGTAAGCAAACACCTCAGCTGAACTAAATTAAATAAATGCTCTTATAACCTACTGCAGGTTAACAGTTAAATGCCTTTTACTAAACCTTTTTTAAAGCATTTTGAAATGAATTCCCATTTTACTTTTTTAGTTCCTACTTGAAATATTAAGGATCTCTGCCATATTTGGGAAGTTTGGGCTTATTTCATTGTTTGGGGTTTGGGTTTTTTTAATTGAAGAGTGAGGCAAAACAGAGGAATACAGTCATCACTAACACAATAGGGAAAAGAAATGAGAAGCCATGCAAAATCTTCAGGATTTCTTCATTTCTTTGCTTCCTCTAGGACCTTTCCTTGTCAAGTAAGATGCTACACATTTACATTTTTTGCTAATAGTAGTTTAAATAAAATATAACTCAGAATGACACTGTGCGGGAAGATAAAAGCCATTTCATAAGTTAAGTTAGCCACAAGAGGGAGTCTGTGCTGGCCAAGCAATGAAATTTACTGGGCCTACGGGGAAAAAAAAGGAAAGTTGGCTATAAATTTTACCTAAACATTATTAACTGAGTAGATTTTCTTGTTTACAGCACTTTCTGTATATAGTAAAAAAATGTAAATCAAACTTAATCAGCTATATTTTGTGGATTCCATACAAGTGAGCTTTAATATTCCTGATTTTTAGTAATATATCATTGTATAATTACACCTAATAACATTTGACTTTTGTGCAGCTGAAAGTGAACAAGTCTGTACAAAGCCAGTTAAAGTAGAAATTCCAACATTTGGAATTTTAATGGCAAATTCTATTTCTCATAAAAGAATGAAAAGTGTACACTATGAAACTGGAGACGGAAATGAGTTCTAGCAACATGGGCAACTGAAAACAGAACTTAAGTGGATTTTAATACCGGAACTTCAGTGCGGATTACGGTTTCAGTTAGTATGAATGAAATAATCATTTAAGGCACTATACAGTTTCTCTGGGTAAGTCTTAACATGAAAGGTAGATTTAAGAAAGGGCATTAATGGGAAGTATCTACGTAAGTGTTTTACAGAGGCAACACGTTACACCATCAGCATCAGGGCCAGACAACTCATCCATTTTAGCCAGGCAGTGAGGGTGGGGATATTATTTCAAAGACTGCGCTTTCTTGCCTCCTCTCTCAGTGCCTCACAGCTGCTCCCCTGGCGTTCTTCAACACCCCTGCCCTGCCCTGCCCTGCCTGCCAGGCACGCTGATGCTGGCGCTGCTTCGGATGGTTGCTTGGACAGCAGATTAGGCTGGACGCAAACACCATACAAAAGAGTGTGTCTATACCCCAAAACCATGCCATTAAAAGAAAGATATACATTAAAAGAAATCAGCATTTTCATTAGTTTGAGAAAATTAATTTTAGAAGCTCACAACTTCACCATGTCAAAACCGGCTGTCAGCAGG